GAACATTTCACTTCTTTATTGTTTTTACTGTAAATATACATTTCCTCTTCTGTAAGAGAAAACACCTTTCTTCCTGTTTTAGTGGATGATCTCATGTCTGTTGTATATTCCTACTAATCAACAAGTTAACACACAGTGGTTTGTACTTAACCTGTATATATTTGTATAGTGAGCATGAACACATTCAGGGTGAATTTGAATACCGATTGCTAGCCAGACCTTCTCATCCAATATCATTGCCTGACCTCGCAGATGCTCTTTTGGCTGAATGAGCACAAACTTCCACAGACACAATCCAAAAAGCGTAGTAGCTGTTATAGCTGAAAGGGGGGGCGACTTACATATTTTGGAATGTGATGCCCATCGAGCTCTTATAGGTATAACATTTCTGATATATGATAAAACATTTACTCAGATGATATATACAAATATATACAAAGCCTACATTTTGGATTTGTATATAACAGATTTTAGCTGCACTCACGGTCTGTAGTAAAACTTTATTAGATTGTTTAAAATAGATCGACGTTTCAGTCCCACTTGGGGACTGAAACAATCTACTACGGACTGTGAGTGCAGCTAAAATCTGTTGTTACTTAAATACTCGAGCCCTGGCTGGCACCCGGCAATTTATAATACTTTGAGCTTGGGTGCAGGGACGAAAATTGTTTATTTTTATATATATATATATATATATATATATATATATATATATATATACATATATATTTATAAATAAACATTCATTATAAGATGAATTGTTGGGAACTGAAATGGAATTTAAAAATTTAGGTCAAATAGATGGTTCAGAAATTATTATTTTTTATCACAATTCGCTGTCAAGTAAACAAACCCGTCATTGCATATGTAAGTGTGAAAATTTGTTCTGTAGAATGTTATTTTTAGAATTAATTTATTAGATAAGGTTGTGGGATAGTTACCGATATCTGAATGATTGAATGATGCAAACTTGCAAAGTGGGCATTTTAGATTATTTGTGAACACTCTGTAAGTGAGGGCATTTGCAGACATAAGTGATAACACCTGGATACAACCAAAGCTAAAGCTGAGTTTAAAGGAACACTATAGGTTTAGAAACACAAACGTATTTGTGACCCTATAGTGTTAAAACGCCATTTAGGTGGCTTGTCCACCTTAGAAGGGGTTAAAACATACTTTATTTCCGTCGGCTCTGGGCCCTTCTTGCCTCCTTGGTGACATCATCAGAATTAACGATTTGTAGAGAATCCGATACTTTCCAAAAGGGAAAGCATTGGATTGGCTGAAATCTGCAAGGGGGGCGGGATGGGGCAGAGGCCAAGCACTGTTTTGGCCAATCACAGCCTCCTCATTAAATCAACGCATCTTTATGAGAAAACTTCAGCGTCTCCACGCTGAAAGGCAGCACAGCCCCGGGAAGCACCTCCAGTGGCCATCTGAGGAGTGGTCACAGGAGGTATCCCAAGGGGCAATGTAAACACTGACTTCTCTCTATAAAGGCAGTGTTGCATGAAAATGCCTGGAGGTAATAAGTATACTCACCAAAAAAACTACATTAAACTGTAGTTGTTCTGGTGACTATAGTGTCCCTTTAAAACAGTTCTCAATTGCCAAGTGTGGCTGCAGACATGCATGATGTAGACGGAAACACGATGTCCATGCTCATATGGAATTCTGCTCAAGATGAACACATCTTGGGTATTCATTAATAATTAAATAGAAACATAGAATGTGACTGCAGCCAATCTAGACTGCCCAATTTTCTGAATACCTTAATTAGTCCCTGGCCTTATCTTATAGCTAGATTAGCCTTTTCTTATAGCTAGGTTAGCCAATCCCATGCATTCTTAAACTCCCTCACAGTGTTAAAGGGACACTATAGTGTCAGGAAAACAAATCGGTTTTCCTGACACTATAGTACCCTGAGGGTGCCCCCACCCTCAGGGCCCCCCTCCCATGGCACTGAAGGGGTTAAAACCCCTTCAAGTAGCTCACCTAATTCCAGCGCCGGGCTCCCTTACCTCTCCTCCCCCGCCAACATCCTCGCCCGCTAGAGGCTGGCTTAACCCCAAATGTAAACATAGCAGTTTCTCTGAAACTGCTATGTTTGCATCTGAAGGGTTAATACCCGAGGGACCTGGCACCCAGACCACTTCATTGAGCTGAAGTGGTCTGGGTGACTATAGTGTCCCTTTAACCTCTACCACTTCAGCTGGAAGGCTATTCCATGCATCCACTACCCTCTCAGTAAAGTAATACTTCCTGATTTGTTTAAACCTTTGCCCCTCTAATTTAAGACTATGTCCTCTTGTTGTGGTAGTTTTTCTTCTTTTATATATACTCTCCTCCTTTGCTGTGTTGGTTCCCTTCATGTATTTCAATGTTTCTATCATATCCCCCCTGCCTCAACATGTATATTTTGGATGCAAGACAAGACACTTTAACCTTTCCTGGAAGGCATACCCTGCAATCCATGAACCAGTTTTGTAGCCGTTCTCTCTCTAAAGTATTAATATCCTTCTGGTGATACGTTCTCCAGTACTGCGTACAATACTCCAAGTGAGGTCTCACCAGTGTTCTGTACAATGGCATGCGCACTTCCCTCTTTCTACTGCTAAAACCTATCCATATACAACCAAGCGTTCTGCTAGCATTTCCTGCTCTGTTACATTATCTGCCTACCTTTATACATGGTGGTATACTAATTATGACTGTGCGAGATAGGCCTTTAAAATGTAAGCCATATTAATGAAGTAATACACATGTAAAATAAAAATCATATTGTATTGTATCAAAAAGGTATTGCAAGATACTACATCTATATATGACTTCATAGATCAGATAGAAAGACAGGTAAAAACCAAAAAGACTAGTATAAAACAAATACTAGTATTCAAGAAATCTTGGTCCCAACAGCACTGTAAATAACATGTAAACATAAAGTAAGAAACCTATTTGCATTCCCAGTCCACAGGATATGTGAACCCCTTAAAAACAACTACTTTTGGATTCCGACAAAGTATTCTCAGCATTACGTGACACGTAGATTGTGGCAGTGTTTGCATTATGGACTAGCTTGGAGTTAGTGGTGGCTGGATAATCTATTTACCAAGATTGTCAGGTGGAAACTGATTGATTTTAAGTCCTAAGGGGCTAATAAAAAATGGTTGATTTTATATTACCATATGCTGTTTGAACTGGGAATGAAAGGGTATTCTTTACCTTATGTACGGATGAGTTAACCACTGTAACGCTGAGGTTTTTTTCTTTGTTTTTTTTCTTCTTTTTAACTACTTTCCCACTGTCTGCTAGTGATAGCTGGCAAATACTTGGAATTTTTAAAATCCAGGCCAGGATCTGAATTTAAGCTCTCCTGCAGGATTAGGTCCGGCTTAAATCCAGACCTATTTGAGGTTAGTTCAGAGTCTGGTTATCCAAATCCAGACATTGTTAAATAGTGTGGACAATGTCTGGATTTTGTGGAGCAAATGGCCGGATGTTTTTGTCTTATTTGGTACAGGGCCATTGGACTTTAGTGAATAACTAAGGGTTATTCATTAATGTGAGAACTCAAAGTGAATTTCAAATTTAATTTAAGGCCAGAGTAGAAACTGAAAGCACATGGAACTATTTCTAATCCAGCTATTTTCACCTTACATTTGAAATTTACTATGAATTCACCTTCTCACTTTAGTGAACAACTGTTAGTCATCTAGGCTTCCAGTTCAGCTACTGTGGCTTAAAATTAGATTAACTTTGAAGTTAATGAGGACACACGATGATGCAGGATAGGTGCACTGCCTGATAGTAATTAAAGAAGGAGGAATGACCTAAACCGCCCATCCGTATCGGCTGTATCAATTGAGCTGCTTTAAGTTTAGGCCTGCTACCTTTCCACACACAAATTGGATGGTGGAAGAGAAAAAGGCACAGGGTAGATGTACCGGAATCATTTAAAAATATAAAATATCCTGGGCAGTAAATTCATCTTGACCAAATTAATTCGGCCAAACCGACAAAAATATGGCAATGTCCATGCTCTCATATCACCCATAAAGCGCTCTAGAATTGATAGAACGTTATACTGGTAAAGTTTTGCTGGGTCTGTGGAAATTTATATCCAGTTACTCTTTGCACCATCGAAAGGGAAATTGGGACTGCAGCCGTGAGGCTTCCTGAGAAGGTATAGAGATGTTAAGAACCTCAGACTTGTTGAGGTTTAAATTCAGGTTGCTCAGTTCTCCAAACAGCTGAAATTCTGCTATGATATTCGGGAGAAAAGTAGCAGGCTGTTCTACATAAAACAGAAGGTCATTGGCAGTAGCTGATACTTTGTAGTCCTCCCCTTTGAAGTGAAAGCTACATATGTTCTGGTTGCTCAGCATTGAGGAACTGCTCCAGGGTGAGAATAAAAAGCAGGGGTGAAGGGACATCCCAATCGTGTATCATTAGTAAAGTACATGTGATCTGAACTCTACTGTAATCTAACCAACTACTGCTGACCAACTGCCCTAACATGCCACTGCTTGTACACACATATGTGAGGGTTACCCCCTGTTATGGTTGTCCCTGACACACATTTAGCTGGTTCCCTTAGGGGTTTCTAGCTTTCTGTGTCTGCAGTAACAGGTAAGTTAGGTCGTATGGTAGTCGGTCAGATAACAGTAGGGTCTGACCCAAGATAAAAAAGTAAAGTTTTCGCAAAAGAATCAATATGCATAATTTAAAAAAGGATAAATAAATGTAATAAACTTAAAAAAATAAAAATAAAAAAAAAGAAGTGAACATTTGAAGACAACTGTCCTTTGAGGAGTAAAAGAATATTGAGCCAACTCATGGCCCTTGGTACAGGTTAAGAATTGTATTTTGTACACTGTCTTTAAGTAAAATAACTGATTATTAACAACATTTGTTGCAAGTGTGATGCGAATACATAATGAAATAACCAGAAATATTTGAGAAAACAAATACAGAAAACAGAAAACTTTAATTGTAAACATCTTCGCTGCTTCTTACATCTAGTTGGTTAACCCGTCTCCTGAAGAAATAACAGTTTCTTTTTTAAATACATATATATATATTCATACTGCGTTTCGGGGCAGCAACCTGCTTATCTCCAGTTCCCGTGTGACTGCATCTCCCACTAACTTTAGCTTCCTGGATCTGGCTATGGAATTATAGGTCAACTGGTGAAAAAAATGCAGGCTGCCAACCACCTTGTCTAATTCTTAACAAAACATAAAAAAGGAGAAAGTAAAATGACACAGTGTTTGTATATTAATAATATCATAAAGGAAAGCATTCATGTACACCAATGAGCTAATGTTATCAGACAGATGGGAAAGAAATGGTTCAGATCATTTTACATTACAATGCACTTTTGATCAACATACAGAATATCAAGGTATTTTTTTAGGCTTTCTGGTTTTACAGAATACAGATATATTTCATTCAATTCCAAAAAAAACAAAAAAAAAATGACTACTTTTTTATTCTTTTAGAAAACAAAAAGTATTTTTAAGGTTACTTGTTATCAAGATCAACAAATGTTCTGCAACCGTTTCCGCTTAGTATAGTAATAAAGTGCAAGGTAAGTTGCCATATTTCATTTAATTTTTAACCAAAAAAAAAAGCTTTTTTTTTTTTTTTACCACGTTCAGAAACGTGTATCAGTCACCATTACATAGGTGCAACAGGTTCCCCATATTGTCCCTTTTTTCAAAAGGTATAAGGGAATTTGTGTAATAAACTAGTATCAAAGAGTAAATTAGATGTCAGTCCAGTTTACAGTGGAAAGCATTAGCTTTTTGAAACATGTTTCTCAGTAACTTGGTGAGTCAACTATATTATGTATGACATGTTTGCGTTGATCAGAGTTGGCTGTATAACCCCAGGACCTATGTTCCCAGATTCAGATTTCCTGTCCCCAACTTAAAACTAGAGACAACATGTTACACCGTCCAAAAGCACAAAAAACAATTCAACATTTTGGTTGGGCAGAGGGAAGGTTTGGTGTGGCTAATCTATTGGAGCTTTTGGCCAGCAGCCTGGTGTTCATAGGGAATCCAGTCCTGAATATTTACGATGTCTAACTCCTTAGCAGGTTTTAGAAACCTGCTATACATTCGACAAGTTACACTGCGATTTCGTATCCAAACAAAAATAAAAATGAAAAGTTATCCAACCTCCTGCTCTGAAGCAGAATGTATGCAAACTGAAAAATTTGCGTAACATTCGATCTATTTCTCATTTTGAATTCAGGCCCACTGCAAAAATACATTCCATAACCAGAAGGATGACATAGATGGACACATTTTAAAAGTGAATAGGAAATTAGGACATTTCTATTACATATCCAAGTGCTGCCCTCCACATATTGTGGGGCTAGAAGAAAGAACATTGTGAGTTGTACATTAACAACATTGTCACAAGGGTCACAATTGGATAACTGGATAATTGGATAAATAATAGTTTTTTTGTTTTAAAGAGAACCCGAAAATGAGGACAGATGTATAGATGTTTAAATAGTTATGCTATTAGACAAAATAATATATTTGCATAGGCTACCCAAGACAGAAATGATTCATTAGAAGCTCTGATATGGGTTATCATCACCATCTGAGGTTTGATGGTGTAAATAGATAAAAAAAAATATGAGCTCTGTTTTTTTTTAAATCTATTATGTCTTTTCCAAATGGTTTGTTGATGGAGGTCATTTGGAGAAATGTATAGTTCTTATATAAAATAAAAAATAAATAAAAAAAACCTACTTGAATTCTTAAAATAATAATTGTTGTATCGTTAAAAATGGTCCAGGTCTATAAGTGCATAACATATATATTTAAAGGGATACACATGACTTTGATTTAGAACTGTAGCATGCACCATAAAAAAACCCACTTTCCTTGACCCCATTTATAATTCTACTGTAATATACTGTAATATAAGCCGGCTTGTGGCAGATTTATCAAAGAAAAATTGGTTCTAGTCTAGGGTAAATCAATAAGCTAAACAAGTAATAATCACCATGGTATCCAATGGAATGTCTCTCAATGTTTAGCACTTTCCATTGATATATCTCCCCCTCTGTGTTACTGGATTACTCAGTACATACTGAGCCACTGAGAGCAATGTGAGCAGAGCTGCAGACTGGAAGAAGAGGAGCAAGTGACGCATATGACAGGCTCTTTTTAATTGAATTTACTTTGTTTCAAAGCTCCAGTAAACACAGAGCCCAGCACGCTCTGTAAGTGCCTGCATTTAGCATTCCCTGAATCAGCCTACAACATTTCCCAATGTTCTATCACGATTCCCTGGTTTCCTTTAAAGAGTTTATCGGAATGCAGTACAATCCCCACACTGTGCCTGCTCTCAGTATTATGTAATGTAGTCTAGTTTAAGTCTCTATAAGGGAATCTAATGATTGTAATATGATCGTAATATCTGGTCTGCACTAGTGAACCCTTTGTGGCTCTATGTGCTTTCAGTTTTGCCCTGCCGCTACTATTGCGCGTTAACCCATTGCAACATGGTAAATATGCTGAAACTGTATTGGGACAAACATCAATGACATATCAGGCAAGAGAAGGAAAATGTGGTATTTCTTTGGATATTGATATAGAGGTTGTTGTCAAGAGGAAGCAGAATGTGGCCAATGCGGTAATGATTCTCTTAGAGAATCACTGATTTACTTTGACTGCCTAGAAGACACAAATTGTTGAGTTTCATAGAGGAAATAATAGACTAATACCTCCCAACATTTCAAATGGACAATGAGGGACACTAGAATTTTAGTGGTGTGAGTGGTGGTGTGGTCAGGAGCTGGGCTGTAAAATTTTAGGTGCCTTACTAATAACAATTTTTGCAACTTAAATGTAATAAGGAACAAGAACAATGTATCTTATATGAACAAACTGATTTCAAAATACTTTTATTGTAGTTTTAAGACACACTACTGAGAGTATTATTGGGGTGGAGTGCTGTTATACACTCAGACACTCTAACAATATGATCCACCTAGAAAGGAGATTTATTAGGATAGAAAAGGGAGAGAGGAGTTTTGGCGTAAGATTAGGACTGTTCCTCCTAAATAGAGACACTTGGGAGGTATGAGACTAGCAGATCTGGTGCTTCTAGTATGCAGAAATCTGCAGTCTGGAAAAAAAAGGTATTTATGTTTAGACTTTTACAAAACCATTTAGTCAAGTGTAGTGATGTCCCGAACGGTTCGCCGAACAAATCGCCACGGACTCATCATTGAGTAAACTTTGACCCTGTACCTCACAGTCAGCAGACACATTCCAGCCAATCAGCAGCAGACCCTCCCACCTCCTGGACAGCATACATTTTGAAGCTGCATTCTTAGTGAGCTGTCCAGGAGGTAGGAGGGTCTGGGAGGGAGGGTCTGCTGCTGATTGGCTGGAATGTGTCTGCTGACTGTGAGGTACAGGGTCAAAGTTTACTCAATGATGAGTCCATGGCAAACCGTTCGGGACATCACTAGTCAAGTGCAATCAGTGATAAACAAGTAACAGATGCACATAACATATAAGGGGTCAGTTTTAGCACACAGAGCCCCTTTAATTAGGAAGCGGTTAGATTAAAAAAGAAAAACTAAATGATGTAAATTATGTAATAGTAAACAAGCTACACTTCATAAGATTTGGCAAACCTTATGTCACTTGCCATGGATACTGTAGATCTGGTATCTGGAAGATGTGGATCACTAATGTCTTATATTTTTTTTTTTTATACATTGTCTATTTCTATATGAGTCCTGGAGTGTTTTCATGCTTATTTGCAGGATATAACCTAACATATGGTGGATTGTTCATTAATTTTTAAAGGAGCAGATAAATGTTGTATGTCTCGTATGCTAAAAAACAAACCCACTATAGCAACAATGCATTAGTTGCCAACTGCAGCCATTGCACCTTAGTCTTGTGTTGTTGTGATGTTTTAAAATGTGGACTTCACACATTTTAATGTTTATGTACCCGTACATTTACGTTGAAAGCACATCTATCCCTTTTTTTACCTACATGTTTCCAGACATTATGTTCAGATTGTGTTTGCTTATATCACTTGTGAGAAGAAAAACAAAGACAAAGAAACTGTTTGATTGCCTATAAAGTACATTGTATGGAAAACATTTTGGAGAAAAGTACATTCTATATGTTGCTGGTATGGGGGCAGGAGAAGACTAATTAAAGTAGTAAATAAGAAGATATACTTGAAATAATTAGTAGGATAAAAAAAGCTTTAAAATTTTTTATATTTTTTCCTCTCTTTGGTACTACATATATTTTTGATATTTTTTTCCACTCCTTTCTTTTCCTAGATGGTTATTCTCTTTCAAACTATTGTTCTTTATTTGTTTCATTTCTGTCTCCGATTCCTCGCACTGGTTTTCTATTAATGTTTCAGTTATTGCCACAATTTGTATAATGGTTTTGGACTATTTTAAAATAAAATCAGGAGTATGAGGTCAAGGAAAATATTTTTTTGATCGTGCATGCATCAGTTCTGAATAAAGCTTCATGTGATTTATACACATACCCTCCAAATTTCAAATAGACAAAGAGGGGCAATTTAATTTTAGAGGTGTGAGTGGGGGTGTGGTCAGTGGCAAGGCTGTTTTGAGAAATTTTAGGTGACTTATTAATGACAATTTATGTAAATAAAATGTAATTTAGAACAAGAACTATGTGTCTTATTTACACAGACTGAATTCTAAACACATTTATTGCCGGATAGGACACATTGCTGTGAATATTATTGCTGTGGAGCTCTGTTATACAATCAGACACTCCAACAATATGGATCTCTTAGAAAAGAGGGACATTAGGATAGAGAAAAGGGAGAGAGGGATTTGGGCCAAAAATAGGGACTGTCCATCCTCAATACTGATAGAAGTATTTAAACAGCTTAAACTGTGTTTATGTATCTATTTCCTGAAATGTAATTCTACACACTTTGTTTTTTCCCATGGTATCTGCTATACTTTTCTCTCCCTCATAATAAAAATATTGAAAAAAATAAATAAGAAAATGCACAGAGCATACAGTGAAACAGATAGCATTCTGTATTTTTTTAATGGGAGTGTTCCACGATGTTGATACACTATGTCAAATGATTCCACAAGAGAAATGAATTGGGAACCCCTGGCTTAGGGCATTGTCTCTTGTCACCTAGGGGCCATATTTACTGTTAGATCTAAGATTTTCTGACCATATTCATCTTTCCTGCTCCCCCTTGGGACTATCCCTCTGCTTTCTCTACATAACATTTAAGGGAAAGAACTCTGAGCAAAAATATACAAAGAGATAATATGCTGTATGTAAATGACTATAATGGAAAATTGTTTGCTTACACACAGTATTGCACATATCAGCAAATATTTCTTTAAAACAGTATTTTAAGAGTTTGTGATCTACATTAGACTACTTTTAATTTCTTTTGATATCAAAATAAGGAAAGCATATTTTACTTTACAGAACAGGACATTGTCACCAACTGTTGCTCATTATTTACTTGACTTAGGGGAGACTCCTGTAGGACATAAAGCCTCCCTGTCACAGGTGCATCATTCCAGAGCCCTATTTAATCTTGACCTGCATAGAGCCCCAGGAGAAAGGATTTCCTAAGTAAGGGGATTAATCTCATAAGAGCAGGCATTAGTTGGCTAGGATAGGATCTGCCAAGAATGGGATACGTTGATGTTGTGGCAGTGCAATGTACGATCATATAGTGCAGCTACCCCCACTATTTTTGCCCAGGTTAGGTGTTTAAAAAACAAAAACAAAAAAAATCTATTACATCCCGAGAGCTTTAATTGCTGTTTAGAGCGTTGGATCTTGTATTTTAACTTACGTAATGTTATTTGGTGTACGTCTATATTGAGGGTGAAGCACTGGAACGTGCATTTTCTGGCTGCCTAAGACTGCTACAGCGCTAACACTGCTAAGTGTTTAGATAAAAAGCTATAATGATTTGAAGTTCCCTTTCCTCCTCACCCTAAACAGACTACTATAGCGCATGGAGAGGCACACACAATCACCATGTCCCTATATGATGCAATCAACATGCCACAATTCCTAGCATGCATGCTGGAGTTTTGGGCTGCCTTTTTGTTACTCTGAAGTTTGTTAATAATAAGTGCACTTTAACCGTTCCCTCTTATGCATATGCCAGGACTCTAAAAGGTGGAGGAGAAGATGTGTGTGTGGGGTGTATGATTACAAATTACTGTGTTTGCTTTCACACTTGCACCAGTTATGTGTGCATGCACCATTTCCTTATGTAAAACTGTAACTCCATCTTTTCCACCATTTTTTATTCTTCTTTTATTTTGTGTTCTTTGCTTTGTTTTTCCTGATTTATTTTCCTTCAGTTCACAAAATAAGATGTCAAATGAGTGATATTGCTAGGGAAAAAGGCAAAACAAAACTGCAGGCAGGTTCGTGGCTTCCATTAGTCTCAGGTAATCCAGGAGAGACATGCATGATCTGGTGCTGTGCTAAAATGGAAGCCACTGTGCATGGGTTACAAAGCAGCTGGATTTCAGGGAACATAATATTTGGCACACCGACAGCCGTGGAACAACTTATAATAAAAATAATTTAAAAACAATAAAATGATATTAAAGATGCATTATGCTGAAAAGTGTGGTATGGGGGGAAAATGCCATCTCAGGGTTCTGCAGGCATATTCACTTGACCTTCGGTTTCAATGTTTATTATTTCTCCAGAAACCCTTGAGGGCAATATTTCCCCTATAATATATACTTCTCTTTTATGTACAAATATAAACATAAATCCACATTTTAAAGTGTGTCCAAACTGTCACCCTTATAGTTAAAACCTATATAATGTAAATCAACATTATCCCACATTTCCAGTAATTGAGAAACAGATAATAGTGCAATACAAAGCACTGTGCAAAACAGCCTTTTTAGTCTGGGTAGTTATGCCCAGAGTTTCAAAAGAACCCTTTTTAATCCCATTTAGTGGACTTTCTAAAAAAAAAAAAAAAAAATGTTAGTAAAGTAAGGTACCCACTGCATATTTGCTACATGTTCTCTGATACTTGTGGTGTATTGAACATCTCTGTAAAGGTGCTGTGTCCATTGACAGAAGGCAAAACAAATCAGATTTCTCTCTGCTTCTGTGTAGAAAAATGGTTGGCTTTTAGGCAATTAAACAGGTTCCAATAAATAAGTCAACATCTTATTAAACATCACTTCCCTGAAAGATAGCTCCAGTGATGTTTTCAATGGAACAGGGTGTTAAGCAGAACTGTGTACCATTGAAACCTCTGACTAGAAAAGCTCTTTAACATTCAAATCTAAGCTGACTCAACGCAAGACTATGTAGAGTCCGGCAAAGCAATCAGATTCATCTTTCAAACAGATCTTACAAAAGCTTCAGACGATTATTTTGCTTTTGCAATAAAAATAGGAACACTTCCTAAAATGAACTGCAAAGCGATAATTGGTTAAACAATCATATAATCTTCTCAATTTGAATTTAAACATTTCCACAGCGAGAAGTGTGGTCATGGCAGTAAGCAGTAATTTATGGACTGTGAGGGAAAAAACAAAACATCAAACTGTGCAGGAACATACCCATGTCTTAGTCTATGTGTTATTCATGATCTATATGGTTATTATACTAATAATTTAAAAAACAATGATTAGAAGAGCACAAATAAAAGGTTATGGCAAACAAACCATACCTAATCTTAGGTGAAAGTGCCATCTTTGTGACAGGACAAATATCAGGGTCTGTATCTTGCCAAATTGTATTCTGTTTAATTAAATATTTCCTTCAAATATTTGGGCCATGTCCATAGATGTATAAAATTAGTAATTATTTCTTCTTCCAGATACGCTTTTACCTTTTGAGGTTCAGTAGTGATTCTGCAAACTATGGCTTGATGCTGTGGTTTCCTGTGAAAATATAAAATGTGGGAAAACACCCCAAAATGCTGGTGCATGAAGGATGCATTCTTTCATATAAATATTTTTTTTTTAGATGGATTGCTGCTTGCAAAATAGTATCAAAATATATTGTATTTAGTTGTAAGCATGGAATAACCATAAATATATTTTCAATGGCCACCATCAGAACTGGCTTCAATAAAATAGGTCTGCATCTTGTTCTTTAACGATGGAAAAACAAAATACAACAATACTTACATGTTTGTATCCATTAGGGAACAATCTTCCTCTCTATTACATATACACACAAACAACAGAAATAAAGACAATCATTTGTTATTTTATAAGTGCAGATAGCAAATGTCCTTCAGAAGGATTGAATTCAAGCGGAGGTTCGGGGAAAACCAGACTCTTGATATGTAGAAGTATGCAGTAGGTTACCTGTCTGAAGACTCAGTTAAGCAGCTTTTATGTAAATGCAGTAAGTATATACACAGAGGCCATTAACTAATCTTGCTAATGATATACAGTACACATGTCATACCTTTCAAACCTATATTTTGCAGCAATGTATACCTGCTTGGTTTTTGAGACAAAGAAAGGACTGCCCTCAAACAGTTTCTGCCCTTTCTATTAGTCCTAGGTAAGCGAGGAAGGAGTGCTTCGGTGTACTGACACCGGGAGGTGCCGTCTGAGGTCTGGGTGGATGGAATGTGACATCACAATGGTTCTTGGGAAAAAGCATTGTTAAGGGAATGAGATGAGCAAATTCGGAGTTCTGGTACCTATCTGAGCTTGATGAGATACCATTTACTGTAAAGGCTTTAAGTGCTAAGTGTGTCTCCGCACTGCTGCTTTGCGCAGCAGACATGGCCACTGTTTGTAGAGCCTGAGAAGCAGACATGACTGAGAGAGGGGACAACAGGCTCCTAGAGTCATTGACGGTGAGCAATGGTGTAACTTCCTTCAGGTTTGCCGTCTGATTTTTCTTCTCCTCTTCCAACAATTCACCGGTCTGGTGCTTCTTGACATGGCGGCTGAAGACAAAGGGGTGTGTTGTCTTAAACAGGCACTCTTCGCAGCTGAAGGTCTGACGGGGTGAGTGCTTGAGTTTCTTGTGCAAATTGAGATTGTCTTTGCGCTTGCAACTGTAGCTGCACTGGTCACAGTGAAAGGGGCGCTCTCCTGTGTGGACACGCACATGCTCAATCAGCTTGTTTGCCGTTTTTGAGAGGTAGCCACATTGGTCACACTTGTAATGATTCCCGAGCCGGTGCTCGCGGATGTGCACTTCCAGCTCCAGCTGATTCGCCTTTACCACCTTGCAGATTCGACACTTGTATTCCATCTTGTAGTGCGTCTTTAAGTGACATTCCATGGCGGCAGGGCGGTTTGTGGAGTAAATGCAGAATGGGCACCTATCAACAAAACAAAAACAGAAAACAAATATTACAATCTTTAATTATTGAAATCACCAAAAGGTTACACTTAGTGTAAATTAAACAACATACTGATTTACTGTGAAGACGTGTGTGTCTAAAATACCACATTTCTATACTCCTCCTTTATTCTCCTTCCTCTTAACTGCTTCACCACTGTGTATTTCAGAATAATATTATAGCGAGAAATGCAGTGAATGTTTAAATCTTAATCCTCAAGTTTATTTTATTTTGTGACTGAATTTTGATCTCTACTTTTTTTTTCTTTTATAAAGATATATTTTACAAAACTATTCACACGGCCACTTGCCACTATAATTGCGGCAGTAGGTGCAGACCAGACAATATTAAAGTAATTAATTAATGGGAAAATAGCATAATGTTTCTTCCTTTTCTCCTCATTGCCCTGTTCTTGCGTGCTTCTCACTGTGATTTTCACAGTGAGAGCACGCCAGCGTCCATAGGAAAGCATTATAAATGCTTTCCTATGCGACCGGCTGAATGCGCGCGCAGCTCTTGCCGCGCGTGCGCATTCAGCCGACGGGGAGGAGAAGAGGAGGAGAGCTCTCCGCCCAGCGCTGGAAAAAGGTAAGTCTTTACCCCTTTCCCCCTTCCAGAGCCGGGCGGGGGACCCTGAGGGTGGGGGCACCCTCAGGGCACTATAGTGCCAGGAAAACGAGTATGTTTTCCTGGCACTATAGTGGTCCTTTAAATGTGCATAGGGATTTTGGATAGTCTGCAAGTAACTCTTTTCTCTGTTTTTTATTGTATGTATTGTGTCTGGTGTCTACTATTGTTGTTAATGCACCTCATAAGCATGAGGTTAGTTACTGGATTGCTATTGGGGCGGGCTTGGCGTTACTTGCGAATCAAAAACCAAGAAAGTTATATTGGAGAAAAATTGTGGTTGAAAACCCCTTCCATCTGATGTCAGTGGTTAGTTAATACATTGTTAAACACAGTTCTGCACACCAGTCATAAGACTTGCTTTTCCCACAGAAATGTCACATTTGCAGTGATGTTACTACTGCAAAGGATTCTGGGTGGACATATGCAAATTAGTTCAACAAAGACTGTGATTTTTTTTTATGTTGAACTAATTTTACCAATAACTAATTTATTTCTGTGGAAAAAGCAAGTCTTGTGGCTTGACTTGTGTGCAGATCTGTGTTTAACAATGTGTAGGCACCCAGACCACTTAATCTCAATGGAGTGAACTGGGTGCTATTTAACCCTGAATCTGAAAACATTGCCGTTCTGCAACTGAAATGGTCAAGTAAAACTGCTATTTCAATCAAATCTCACAAAGACCATTTGAATGGCACAGCGTTTTGCCATGCATGTGCACTAGCCCTTCCAATGCTTTCCCATAGGAAAACATTGGATTGGCTGAGAACCTCAAGATTGATGATCTCAGTGAAGAGGGCAGGGCTTCGACATGGATACTGGCATGCTGCACGATGTAAAGTAAGTAAATTTACCTTTTAAATCCTCTCAGCTGGGGGGCAGCGACCTATAGCTAGAGGAACACTATAACACTATAAATTAGGACAGTGATGGCTAACCTTGATACCATAAATTGTTTCTGGACTACATTTACAATGATGCTCAGCTAGCTTTTAGACTCAAAAAGCTAGCTGAGCATCATGAGAAATGTAGTCCAGAAAAATAATTATGGTGTCAAGGTTAGCCATCACTGTATTAGAAATACATGGTTGAAATTTCTAACACTATAGTGTTCCTTTAAGGTTTATACAATGCAATACTAAGGCAGCCAGTAGTCTTTAGCATCTGAATAATTGTATCAATCAAAGAGAATAGTTGTATCAAACCAAGCTTGACAATAACCAGTTTGAAATTATGTAGTTGCTGATTAAATCTTTATAGTTTAAGCAAGCCTAGCTGCATTAGGGAACACCTTCTGTCAGCAACATTCTCTTGTTGTGTAACAAAGATGAAACTTTAAAGGGACACTATAGTCATCAGAACAACTACAGCTTAATGTAGTTGTTCTGGTGAGTATAATAGCTCCCATCAGGGGCGTACCTGGAGCATCTGGCACCCGGGGCGGGTCCCTATATGAGGGGTAATAGTGATAAGGGGTGATTGTGAGAGGGAGGAGGGGTGATTGTGAGAGGGGATTTTGAGGGTGGTTGTGAGAGAGGAGGGATGTGGAGGAGGAGGGGATGACTGTGAGGAGGGAGGGGTGATGGAGAGTGGGGGTGATTGTGAGGGTGTAGAGAGGGGAGGGGTGATTGTGAGAGGGAGGGTGATGAGAAGAAGGGGTGATGAGGAGAGGGTGATTGTGGGGTGAGGAGAGAGGGGGGTGACGGAGAGAGGGAGGGGTGATGAGGATGAGGAGGGAGTGATGAGAGGGGGATGTGATGAGGAGGGTGATGAGGGAGAGGGTGATGAGGGAGAGGAAGGTGGGTGATTGTGAGGAGAGGGTGATCAGGGGGTGATGAGGAGAGGAGGGTGATGAGGAGAGGTGGTGATTGTAAGAGGGAGGTGATTTGAGAGGGAGGTGAGGGGGTAATGGGAGAGGGGTGATAGGGAGAGGAAGGTAGGTTGTGAGGGAGGGTGATTGTGGGAGGTGATGAGGAGGGAGGAAGGGGGTAATCAGGAGAGGGAGGGGTGATGAGGGAGATGGAGGGGGGTGATTTTGAGAGTGGGGGTGATGAGGAGAGGGGTGATGAGATGAGGAGAGGGGGGTGATGAGTAGAGGTAGGGGTGATGGAGAAAGGGGTGATAAGGGGGGTGATGAGATGAGGAGGGGGGGAGGAGAGGAGGGGTGATGTGATGAGGAGGGTGATGTGATGAGAGGAGGGTGATGAGAGGGGTGATGGTGATGGGGTGATGAGGAGAGGGAAGGTGATTGTGGGGGGTTATGAGGAGAGGGAGGGGGGTGATTGTAAGAGGGAGGGGAGGTGATGAAGAGAGGGAGGGTGATGAGGAGAGGGGGGGTGATGAGGAGAGGGTGTGATGAGGACGGTGGGTGATGAGGAGGGGGAGGGGGTGATGTGATGAGGAGTGGGGGGGTGATAAGGAGAGGGGGGTATGCAGGGTGGACTAAAAAATTACCTTAAATCCCTGGTGGTCCAGTGGGGGCTGCCTGGTGGTCCGGTGGGGTCCCTGGTGGTCCAGTGGCCATCATTTCCGGTCTGCAGCTCCGCAGAGCTGCAGACCATGGATCTCGCAAGACCCAATCAGAGCGCTGCCGTGGTAACCCATGGCAACGCTCTGATTGGGCAGTGCTCGTGAGACACATGGTCTGCAGCTCTGCACATTGCGGAGCTGCAGATGGGTCATGGCGATGGGCGCAGGAGGGGCATTGCAGTCTGCCCCCTAGTGAGTGGCACCCGGGGCGGACAGCCCCCCGCCCCCCTCTTAGTACGCCACTGGCTCCCATCAGGCATTTTCATGTAAACACTGCCTAGGGACACACTCCTTAGATGGCCACTGGAGGGGCTTCCTGGCTCAGGGCTGAACAGTAAGCAGCCCTGCTGTTCAGCATCCCAACGCTCTGCATATGGGAAAGCATTGGATTGGCTAAAAATCTGCCTTTTTTAAATGTCACAAAGGGGGGT